CAGTATGGTTTAAATCTCCTTACTGACTTGTGATCTCCGACTTTACCCTTTTGGTGGTCAGTTACCTCCTCTCTAAAATTAAGGATTAGTGATAGAAATACTAGTTTTGGAGCCAGGGAAACAAAAAGTTGAATCCCACCTCGGATACTTTTTTGAAGGCGGGCAGAGTATGGTACAGTGGAAAGTGTTTTACGTCAGGTCAGATGACTTCTGATGCTAACCACCTGCATGACCTCAAGCAAGGAATTTCACCTCCTGTGGCCTCTGTTTCTTTATCTGTAAAAAGAGAGGGTTGAACTAGATGGCCTCTTCCAGGTCTGCATCTATAACCTTATGGTTATATGATTTCAAAAGTCCCTTCTAATTATAAAATCTGTGATCCCATAAAGAGAATCAGCCAGCCACATTCATTGAACACCTATTATCTGCTAGAGACTTTGAAGGGATGCAAATAAATATAAAACAAGGTCCCTATTCTCAAAGAAACTTAATATTTGATAAAGAAAGACACACTTCTTTTTTCCCCACATTTTGAATAGTTTATTTTTTCCCAATTATATGCAAAATTTTTTAACATTTATTTTTAAAAATTTTGAGTTTCAAATTCTTTCTGTTTTCACCCCCTTAATTGAGAAGGTAAGCAATTTGATACAGGTTATACATATATAGTCATGCCAACTATATTTCCATATTAGTCATGTTTTGAAAGAACACACAGACCAAGAAAAATAAAGTTGTTGGATTTTTTTTTTAAAGTATATTTTGGTCTACATTCAGGCTCCATCAGTTCTTTCTCTGGATATGAAAAGCATTTTTCATCATGAGTCCTTTGGAATTGTCTGTGATCATGGTATTGCAGAGAATAGCTGAGTCATTTGCAGTTGATTATCATACAGTATTGCTGTTACTCTGTACAATGTTCTCTTGGTTCTGCTCACGTCACTTTGTATCAGTTCATATAAGTCTTTCCAGGTTTTTCTGAAACCATCTGCTCATCATTTCTTATAACACAATAGTATTTTTTCACAATCATATACCACAACTTGTTCAGCCATTCCCCAGTTGACGGGCATCCTCTCAATTTCCAATTCTTTGCCACCACAAAAAGATCTGCTATAAATATTTTTGTATATATAGGTCCTTTTCCTTTTTTTTTTTTAATCTCAGATACAGAACTAGTAGTGGTATTGTTGGGTCAAAGGGTATGCACAATTTTATAGCTTTTGGGCATGGTTCCAAATTGCTCTCTAGAGTGATTGAATCAGTTCACAACAGAAAGACACATTTCTATGAAAAATATAACAATATAGGAGAGTGTGTAATCTGGGCCAAATGAATTATATAGGAATTAATGGCTATCAGAGTTTGGAGGTAGGGCAGCTAGGTGGTGCAGTGGATAGAACACTGGACCTGGAGTCAGGAATACTCCTGTTCCTGAGTTCAAGTCTGGCCTCAGACACTTCCTAGCTGTGTGACCCTTACGAAGTCACTTAACTCTGTTTGCCTCAGTTTCCTTATCTATAAAATAATCTGGAGAAGGAAATGGCAAACCATTCCAGTATCTGCCAAGAAAATGGGGTCATGAAGAGTTGGACATAACTGAAACATGACTCAATAACAACACCAATGACAAGAGTATGGAGGTAGGAGAGTTCATTTTAAGCTGTGTGGTTAGGGCAGGCAAACTAGAGGAGCTGGAATTTGGGCTCAAGGATAGGTGGGATTTGGAAAAATGGAATATAGCAAGGGGGCAGAGCATTCTGGGCAAGCAGTTTCAGCTTGAACAAAGGCATTGGGCCAGCAATGTACAAGGTATCTATCTTTGGGTGAGAATGCTTCCAGGTGGCCAAAGTAGATTATCCGTGTGAGGAAGAAGTAGGAGGAAAGGTTAGAAAGGTAAGTCAATGGCTGTAATATCAGATCTGTGGGTATAGAGATAGTAGGAGAGCCTGAGATCATGTGAGCCAAGGTACGTAGAGTCAAGGATGGCAGTGGGCCAGACCTGGTAGGTATCTGGAAGCCATCAGCTAGGACATACTTCAGGCACTGAAATCTGCTGGGCAATCAGGGAACACATGCTTTCCAGAAGTCAAAACAAGGTAGGAGACTGGAAACCATGCAAGGATTGAGGCATCAGAAAAAACTTGGGTACTGTGAGATGGCAATCTACCTTGGTAGAGGGGACTTCCTCACCCAGGAGTTACCTATATCTCTGAAATCACAGGGTCAGTCCCTGTTCCTATATTTTGTTTTTCCTTACCTAGGCATATGTTATTTCTTTTCAGGAGAATGAAAGCACCTTGAGCCTAGGGACTATTTTCATTGTTGTCTCCATAGCCTCATTGCCGTGCGTAGTGCCTGGCATGTAGTAGATGCTTAAGAGCTTTTTCAATTGAATTTAAATGATTTGAAAGCAGTTAGGAGTCAAAAAGCCCACATGCACCAAAGTTCAAAGCAGTATGTTATGTACGATATAAGAGGCTTTGCCGAATCATTTTTCAGTAGTGTCTAAGCTCTTTCTGACAAACTCTTCCTTTTGGGATTTTCTTAGCCAAGATATTAGAGTGGTTTGCATTTCCTTCTGCAGCTGATTTTACAGATGAGGAAACTGAGGCAAACAGGCTTAAGTGACTTGGCCAGGGTCACACAGCTGGTAAGTGTCTGAGGCCAAATTTGAACTCAAAAAGAGGAGTCTTCCTGACTCCAGACTCAGCACTCTATCCACTGTGCCACCTACCTGCCCTACCATATAAGTAGAAGATAGCAAAGGGGAAGGGCATCCAGACAGTGGCTTCAAGGATCCCTTTAAACGAAAGTATCTTTTTTTTTTCTCAAACAAGAAATTTAAATGTTGTCTCCCCCATTAAAATGTGAACTTCTTGAGGGCAGAGACAACTTTTGCCTTTTTTTTTTTGTATCTCCAGCACTTAGTAGGATGCCTGGCACATCATAAAGCACTTAATAACATGCTTGTCAACTGACGGACTTAACCTTCCTGTGACTCAGTTTCCTCATCTGTAAAATGAGGGGGTCAGGACAGATGGCATCCAAGTTCTCTTTGAGATCTAAATCTACGAACCTGTGATCCATCAAGTAGCATGCAAGCCATGTTAGGGAGGTGGTAAACAGGCGACTTAATTGGAATGAGGGAATTAGGAGGCCAGAGACAGAGCAGGAGGTCAGGTTGTCTAAGACCGTGAATGCCAAGCAGAGGAGTTTGAACTTTAGACTGAGAGACAGTGAAGGGCTTCTGTGTAGGGGCATGAGATGATTTTTTAAAATGTGATGTTGCTCGTGTTTATTCTGAAATATGAAGGCTGAGGGAGAAGGAGGCAGCAGATTAGAAGCTTGTACATAGCAGTGGTCACCAGTTGCCAAGGATTATGAGCACATCTGCAGTTTGAATGAATGAATGAAGCATTTAATAGATCTGGTGGTTTGGGGACTACTGGTATTCTCAAGATCTTGGACCCAGAATTTTGAGCTATCAGAGTCCTAAGGGGAGAGGGTAGTCAAGATGGTAGAAGTGGCCTGATAGAAGCCATCTCCCACCTCTCCCTCAGGTGTCTCTGCCTAGGTCAGACTAGCGTTGTGGAATGATACCATTTGCTTCCAGATTTTCATGTTTGCATATGTGTTTTTCATGGCTTATTTAGAAAAAAAAATTTTATTTTGGTATATAATTCTCCTAAAGTTATTAGATCCCTGAAATGAGGATGATTATAATCATAATGATGGTAACAACAACTAGCATTTACATAGGGCTTTAAGGTTTGCACAGTGTTTTATACCACTAGATAGAGATCTGGACCTGGCCTATTTACTAGCCCTGGAGTCGGGAAGACCTGAGATCAAATGTGACCTCAGACACCCACTAGCAGTGTGTTGCTCAGCAAATCACTTAACCTCTTTCTGCCTTAGTTTCCTTAATTATAAAAAGAGGATAATAATAGTACCAGGGTTGTTGTGAACATTAAATGAGATAATATTTATAAAGTACTTAGCACAGTGCCTGGCACATAATAGGTGCTTAAATAAGTGTGTTTCCCAGTGTCCAACAAACGGAAGGGATTGGACTAGATCAGGGGTGGGGAACCTCCGGCTTCCAGGCCACCTGTGGCCCTCTAGATCCTTAGGTGCAGCCCTTTGACTGACTCCAAACTTCACAAAGCAAATCCCCTTAATAAAAGGATTTGTTCTGTAAAACTTGGACTCAGTCAAAAGGCCACACCCAAGGACCTAGAAGGCCACATGCTGCCCTAAGGCCACAGGTTCTCACCCCTGGACTAGACTGTTTCTAAGTTACCTACCGGGTGTTAAGATTCCATTTATTCCTAGGTAGGGATTAGTTAATTAGCTGAGTTTAAGAATTGCCTTTCAGCTACAACCATTCATTAGTCTAGAGTCCTTCTCTGCCTTGCATTGTACTTTCCTCTAAGGAAAAGGTTCTTTCAGGGTGTTCTTTGTCTCTGAAAAGCCTAAAGCAGAAACTCTGCCTTATTGTTCACCATTCTAAAAATGGCCTCATCAGTTAGTAAGATCATTCAGTGAATTCCTTTAGAAGCATAGACCTCCTCAGAAATTAAGCTTGCTTACTGAGGCCGGAGTAAGCCACTCTGCCAACACCAAGTTCTGACCTTGCTCAAAATGATTCTTTCTCCTGTAGCCTCTAGCATGCCCTTCACCCTCACAGTCTGAGCTAGTCCCTCCCTTTCCTTGCAAAGGCTCACGGTTCATTCTAAAAGGCCACCTTCTTTATAGAGCCACACACAAAAGCACTTAATTTCTAACCCCATTTAATAAGACAAAATAACATGTAGGTACCCAACAAACATTGTTTGAACAAAGTTTAGTCCAAAATGGGGTTTGGTTTCTCCTTTCTTTAGTCACAGGGGAGATTGGGACTCCTGAAGAAAGAATTAAAAAAAAATATGAGCTTCAAACTATAAAGTTGTTATTTTATGATAACTGATGTTATGTTACGGTTGGTTTTCTTATAGGCAACTTCAAAAGGTCTTCCATGGTATCGCAAACAACGAAGGTGGAATAATGAACAAATTCAAAAAGTAAGTGGGATCTTCACCACTTTTATTGTACTCACAGATATTGAGTGGGAAGGGGTGTGGTTTACTTCCTGAAAAACATTCAGTGAGAAGGGAAAGATTGGTGTTACCAGAATGGTTCTAAATCTTCTTCAGAAGATTCCCCTTCCTCATCTCTTCCTTCCTGGTGATGAATGACGGAACCTTGGAGTTGGGAGGAACCTCCAGGAATCTGATTGAATATACCTGGCCAGGAGTCCACTCTACAACCTACCTAGGAAGTGGTCATCCCACCTTTGCTGGAAGACACCCACTGGGGGAATCAAACTACCTCCCAGGGCAGCTCCACTTCAGGGTAGCTTTAATTGGGAGTAAGTTTTTGTGACCTCAAGCCTAAATTTGCTTCTGTACTACCCCACCCCATCCCCATCTACCCCACTGTTCCTCCTAATGTTATCCTCTTGGGCCAAACAGAATCAGCCTCATCCCTCTTCTATATGCCACCCTTCAAATGACAGCTGGCATCTCAACCTGAAATCTCCTTTGTATAATCAACATTCCCATTTCTTTCAGTCAGTTATCATATGGCACAGTGGATAGAGCCCTGGAGTCAGAAACACTCATTATCCTGAGTTCAAATCTGGCCTCAGATACTTGCTAGCTGTGTGACCCTGGCCAAGACACTTAACCCTGTTTGCCTCAGTTTCTTCATCTGTAAACTGAGGTGGAGAAGGAAATGGCGAACCACTCTAGTGTCTTTGCCAAGAAAACCTCAAATGGGGTCATGAAGAGTTGGACATGACTGAAAAAGACTGAACAAAAACCACATGAACCTAAGGCTCTTCAGTCATCTTAGATGCCCTTCTGTAGATGATCTCCAGGTGTTTAATGTGCTTCCTAAAATGCGATGCCCCACACTAAACATATGTGACAAATATGAGCTGATGGAGGCAGATTACACAAGGACTTTCTAGTTCTGTATACTATCCTTTTCTTTACACTACAAGTACCAAGCTCTCTCAATTGATGCAAAATTTCAAAAGTCATTTTATTTTCATTTATTATAGTTTCCATCTGTGCAAGTGTACTTTAGACACAAATCATCATAAGCAAATATTATAATTTTACTTTAAAATAAAAAATGTTATTCTACTAGCTCTATTTTCTTTGCCTTATGGACTTTTTAAAAACGTACTGCATCGATTGACACAGCTTGGTCCTTTGAGGTCTTCTTAAATCCTGGGCCTTCAGCTCACCACTCTTCCTGAAAGCCAGCCCCCCTCTTTACTCCCCTATATCCAATCAATTGCAAAGTTCCTTTGCTTCTACCTCTACATCTCTGTCTCTATCTTCTTCTTTTTTTTTTTTTTTTTTTAGGCAATTGGGGTTAAGTGACTTGCCCAGGGTCACACAGCAAGTAAGAGTCAAGTGTTTGGTCTAAGGCTGGATTTGAACTCAAATCCTCCTGATTTCAGGGCCGGTGCTCTGTCCACTGCGCCACCTAGCTGCCCCTCTATCCTCTTCTCTCCACTCCCATAGTCACCATACTAGTTAGGTCCTCAGCACCTCTTACCTGGACTCTTAACTGATATCCTGAGTGGATCCCAGTGTCCCTAGGATGAAATACAAACTCCTTTTTGGGCTTTAAGGTCCTTCACAGTTTTGTTCCAACATCTTTGTCCAAACAGACTCATATTGTTCTATACTTACCCATATATAACATTTGGTATCCTGTATCCTAACTCTATACCTTTTCATTGACTCTTCCCTCATACTGGAACATTCTTCTCACTCACCTTTATGTCTTTTGGCTTTTCCCTTTCCCCCAAAGTCTCACTGATATTAAGATATTAAAGCTTCAAACTGCAATAAAGACGTTTGGGACGTCATGTATTTTATATATCCTAATCTGTGTGGATATTGTTTTTCCCAGTAGAATGTAAGTGCTTTGTGGATGGGAACTGTTTGATCTTTGTATTTACATCCCTATCACCAAACACAGGGTAGGGCCTGTGAACATATGATAAGTGTTCAAGAAATGCTTGATGAATTAAATTGCATTAATGCAACTGAGGATTATGTAAGGTTTCTTGACTGGCACAGTTGATTCATATTCAGCTTAAAATCCATTAAAGTGGGGCAGCTAGGTGGAGAGAGCACTGGCCCTGAAGTCAGGAGGACCTGAGTTCAAATTCGACCTCAGACCAAACACTTGACACTTACTAGCTGTGTGACCTTGGGCAAGTCACTTAACTCCAATTGCCTAAAAAAAAATCCATTAAAGTTCCCAGATTTTTTTTTTCAGACAAATTTCTTCTTACCCATACCTTCTCTACCTTGTACCTCTGAAATGGATTTTTGAACCCAAGTGTGAGATTATGCATTCATCCCTATTGGATTTCATCTTCTTAATTTGGCCCAGTGTTCTAAGATTTATTTTGGATTTTGACTATCATCAAGCATGTTGGCCATCCTTCCTAACTGTGTCATCTGGAAATTTGATGAACGTGCCATCTGTATCTTCATTTAAATCATTAATAAAAATGTTAGACAAAACATGGCCAAAAATAGATCATTCCACTGGAAACCTTCCAAGTTGACATTGTAACATTAGTTTTCCAGGTCATGTGACCAATGAGATGGAGGATTAGACACTTTCTCTGATCCTCAGGTCTTCATAACCTCTCGAAACTCTCCAAAATAGGGATTATACACAACAGATAAGTAATTTCAGTTGTCTCCATGGTCTAAGACATCAAAATCCCTCATAAGGTAACAGCCCAATACACTAATAGCAAGGAAAGCTAATCCCCAATTCCTAAAGCACTTGCTCAGCATTCCCTTCCCTTTGGTAGGGCTGCACAAGCCAACCCATGGACTTGCAATAGAATTCAACTCTCTTCCCCTCTCTCTGGATAATGTAGAGAGCCAAAGGCCAGAAGCTTGCTCCAAGTGGGACGAAAGTGTGGCAACACATTATGATTCAATAGTGCTCATGCAAAGAAATGGGTAAAAGAAGGAACTCATCTGGTAGGATGCTAGAATGTGTGGAGGGAACTATCAAGCAAAAAGGGCTAAAGCAATAGCTCCTAAATGTGATCAGTTGTGTCCTCCCAGAAATAGCTTGGGGATGAAACCAAGGCTGGTGCAATATGAATTGCCCTGCAGGGGGAGTAGGGGTGGGGACTTTTGACCAATGTTGAGGTCTAGTACCAAGAGAAACCACCATTAAAGGAGGAGTCATAATGTGAGGGATAGGGGAATATAAAGGAAAAAATCTGAAATTACAAAATAGGAAAAAGAAAACTCAGTTAAAGACTTTGAGTGCAAGCAGATAAACTAAAAGGGATGACATTAATAAAAGAAGAGGAGATGGCCTCCAGATCATCTAAATAAGTCCAGATATCTCTAAATAAATATTACAAGATAAAACAAAATGCGTCAACACCCAGGGAGGTAAAGGATCCTGTGGATTCCCAAGTGACCATAAGACTGCAGCAGAGTGTATGGTTTCAGACAGAAATAAAAATTATGAAAGTAATTTTTATGAAAAATAGAGCAAAAATAATTAGCAGAATAAAAAGCTTGAATCCACAGTGGCAAACTGCATCAAAACAGAACAAAAGAAAGAATAACTGATTGGGGATCTAAATACACAGAAGTAAAAGACAATCTAGAAGAAAAGAAGGAAAATACAATAATGTAAAAGAAAGCATTGATCTCAAAGAGAGGATACTTAGAGACATTGAACCATTAATGACTGTTCTTTGAATCATTTTCTAATTCAACACCTTACTATAGTCTGACCTACATCTCTCCAGCTTTTCTATAAAAATAGCACGAGAGACTTTATCAAATATTTTGAGAAAATGTACATAAATTGTGTATATGCCACTCCCCATGTCTTCCAGTTTAGTAACCTGTTGAAAAAGGAAATAAGATTAGTATAATCTGACCTTAAATGAAGCTATACTGAGTCTCTGTTATCCACACTTCCTTTTCACTATCCATCCTTTCATTATATTTCAGAATTTTGCAAGGAACCAAAAATCAAGCTTACTGGCTTATCTTTTTTGAAAATTGGGACAGTTGACCCCTTTATTCCAGTTCTTTAATCACACTCCAGTTTTCATCATCTTTAAAAATCTTTAAAGGCAGTGATTCAATAATGACATCTGCCAGTCTTATTTGTAATCTAGGATAAAGTCTGTCAAGGCCCGGGGATCTGAACTTATCAGTTCTGTGCACACAACAGGTACTTCAAAAATTCTTCTTGCATTGGATTATATCAAAGGCAGTTAGATATCCTCTTGCTTATCTTGAGTATCAACCCTCTATTAGCTATTTTTGTTCTATCTTTTTTTAGTCCAAAGATCTTTTTTCCTACCAAAGAAAACAGAAGTAACATAAGAGTTGAGCAATTTCTTCTTTCTAATTTCATTCCCCCTGAGCAGTGGTGCCCACCTCTTCTTTGATCCTCATCTTCATCTGAATGTAGTATTTTCAAATTGTTTTTGTTACTTTGGGATTTTTTTTTCTTAGAATTTTAGTTCATTCTGAGCTTTTGTATTTCTGGCACAATTTTCACAGAGGTGTGATATGTGTTTGCATCCATCCTCTGCTATTTACCCTTGCTTTCACCTTCTTAAAAAAAATCTAAGATGGTTAGTGAAAGGCAATGTGACTTCATGAATAGAACACTCACCTTGGAGTTAGGAAGACCTGGGTTCAAATCCTGCCTCTGACACTAGCTATGTGACTCTCTAAGACTTTAAACTACATAGAAATTGCTGATCTACATGAGTAAAGAGAGTTTCCTCCCTGGAATTCTTTCACCAATGAAATCATAGATCCAGACCAAAAAAAAAAAAGGTATGTTGATATTTCCCATATGTTCACATAGGCCTCTTAATACAATTTCAATCAATCACATTGATTTTTTTTTAAGTTTATTAAGCACCTACTGTGTGTCAGGAACCACTCTTCATTGGAATTGTACTTTATGCTTTCAGAATTTCATTCTT